AACTATGTCGCGTATACGATAACGGTAGCTGTTCTAGGTTTCCGAAGCGTGTCCAAAAAACACAAGTTGCGATATGAACGCAGCACGCAGAGTGCCACGCAAGTACGCTAGGGTGCTTTTGGCAAGGGTCGTGCGGGGTCAGTAGATGCCGTAAAGGTGAATGAATGATCGTGAAGTCAATGTCGTTGAAAAAAAAAATATGCAAGAACTGCTCTCACGTTGATAGTGCGATTCTCGCCTATGAGTGAGCGCAAGGACAATCTATGTTGCATATGACGACCAAAGTGGGGGTAGCGCTCCGTGGTGGTAACGTGCGGACATTGCACGAGGACATGAGCTAAGGACGGGGCGTCATTACAGCGAGAACGTGCTATTCTCCCTCAGTTACGTACCGTGACCACAAAGTCACGTGGTCTGTGATGTCACGCACCGGCTGACGATGTCGCCAAGATTTTGTTAGCCCGTCAGCAGACGAGAAAGCGCAACCAGATCAAAAATCATCTGACAAAGAGGAGGGAGTTCCAACTGACAGCTCTTCCGTACGCGAGTACATTGGGTGGAGTGGGTTGGGGGCTTGTCTCCTATTCTGGGGGAAATGCGATGTAGGATCGCATAAGAGAGAGAATTGAGCCACCAGGAGCAACCACGAAAAGGTGGAGAAAATACTTGGTGTTTGGTGTGTTAGTTGCGTTCCCCCAGTAGATCAACAGCGTTATAGTAATCGGAAAAAGATGGAGAACGGGAACGCAACGCCTTGCGTCTCTAACATGGGCTTTGTCAGTAAAATGAGAGTTTAATGAAAGGATGGCTTCATGCCAGCACAAGTGACTGTGGAGGATTCAATGGACCTTTGACACAAGAAGCATTTAGTGAACACTTAAAATGACAAAGGAGGAAATTTAAATGAGGTTGGAATGGGAAACACTCCACTACATATCAGAAAGATGGTGGTAATACTGGAGCACGATCCACACTTCCAAACACCATTTTGTATGCAGTACGTTATGGTCGGCGGTAAGCCAAAGTGTGTGGTTTGAAGTAGTTAAAAGGTAAAGGGCAAAACGAAAGTTGTCTGAAGTAGTTTAAAAGGTAAAGGGAAAAGGAAGGTAAGTCCAAAACTTTCCTGTCAGCCCAAACATCGAACGCATGACGTCAGCACGCATGACGGAACGCATTTGACAACTGTGCTGACGACAGATCGAACGGGCCTTCATATTAGTATATGCCAAGAAGGGTTCGGAACTGGGCATGGAAAGACGACGACGACGGTACTTACCTTGAGAACATTGCCACGTCTGTTCTTCTTCAGGAATGTATTGTGCTTCAACATGTTGCTCCGCAACTCTTCCCGTAAACCTCACTGCAACGGAAATAGTGAGGTACATACTGATTCATCGAAATCGTTTTAATGGGATATCACAAAATGTTAGGTTACCAACGCGACAGAATGTGAATGAATGCGAATGTGGTGTGCGCCCTGCTCCAGAACGTGTAAGCTAAAATGCCCAGCTAGGGTGGCATCTAAAATATTATGCACGATGTGGCACACGCGCATACCCCGCATCATGGCTGGCATGCGCACTGAATCGCAACAGCTGACGTCCTTGCCCTGGCACATGCTCGGTAGAACAAAACAATCAGACAAAAACTGTACCGTCCGCTCACCGGTGGCCCCTCTCATAACTCAGCGTACTCAGGGAAAAATACGCCCGCTTCATCATTCCGGTGTTTATAAGGTTGGGCGTACTCTTCTATGAGAAAGGGCGGGATGGATGGTTGGAGATTCCATTTGCGCAAGTGCGCTCGAGAAGAGCGCCACACCTTTGTGCTGCCAGAGACAGTGAAAGTCTCAAGACGGTACGCGTACGGATATGTACAGCGCATACACAAATGTTCTTTCAGTGCCACGGAAAAAGACTACGTGCCACGCTCGCAAACGTGGCAACTGTTGTTGGCAGTAGAACTTCGGAAGTGGAAAACACGGCGTACGGTTGGTGTGCAAACCAGGCCAAGGTCTCCGGAAGGTCATGCGTGAGCGAGTGTTCGTCTCTGCCGGCAAAGCACAGTTGGCAGCAGGGCTGAGCACTCGCCGCTCTACCTCCTGCGAGTGTGGGCTGTCGGCCGGCGCTCAAACCGGACCCTGAGCTCTCGTCTACACCTGCTTAGAGATGGAGGCCGCGGCGTCGCTCGGGGACCAGATGCGCTCGGCAGCGCTGGACCTGCTGTACATCCGCAACGTGACGGGCCACGTGTCGACAGCACGTGCATCAGGTGCCTGACTACACGCGCCAGGCGGTGCCAGCCTTCCTGCTGCTGGCGCTGCTCGAGTTCGTGCTCCTGCAGACGCGACGCCGGGGCCGCGCCACGTTCGCTGACCACACGGTTGTCGCTGGCCAGTGGGATGGTGCACCTGGTGGTTGTCGGCCGGCTGCGGCTTCCTGCCAGTGTGGGCGTACGCGACCATCTTGCAGCGCTGGCGACTGCTCGAGCTACCCTGGGACTCGGTCGGGCGTCTGGTGGCTGACGCTCGTCGGCGTCGACTTCTGCTTCTACTGGCAGCACCGTGCCCTGCACGAGGTCAACTGCTTGTGGGCCATGCACCAGGCGCACCACAGCTTCCGAGTACTTCAACCTGTCGGCGGCGCAGCGGCAGCCAGTGCTGCAGACGTTCGTCACGGGCGTGTTCTACCTGCCGCTGGCGGTCCTCGGCGTTCCGCCGGCCATGTGGCTGTCCCACCGCGCCTTCAACTTCATCTACCAGTTCTGGATCCACACGGAGCTGGTAGGCTCGCTGGGTCCGCTGTGAGCTCGTCTTCAACACGGCCTCGCACCACCGCGTCCACCACGCCTCCAACCCGCGCTATCTGGAACCGCAACTACGGTGGCTTCCTCATCGTTTGGGACCGGCTGTTCGGCACCTTTTGTGCCGAGGCCGAGCCACCCACCTACGGGTCTCTGCCCAACGTCGACTCCTTCGACCTCTGGACGGTTGCAGCTGGGCGCGTTCGCGCGCGTGGCGGCGGCGGCGCGGCGCGAGGTGGACTGGGCGGACGCGGCGCGCCCGCATGCTGTGCGGTCCCGGCTGGCAGCCGGGTGGACCGCGGCTCGGCGACCGGCCGCCGTGCCGTCCGCCCGACCCGCGCCGCGTCAAGTACTCCGTTGCCGGCGCGAGCGGCGCTCCAGCTGTACGTGGCGGCGCACGGCACGCTGCTGGGCGTGGTGCTGCTGGCCGGCCTGCGCTGGCGACGCCACCCACCGCCGCCCTGCTCATCGCCTCGGCCACGGCGTTCGCACGCGTGGTGAATGGCAGTCGGTATGGCCAGCCGCTCGAGGCCGCCCGCTGTCTGAGTGTGCTCCTCTGGCTGGCAGGTGCAACACTGGCTTCTGTCTGGCTCACTACCACCGGCATTGTTTGTTTGGTTGGGTCAGCAATGCTGTGGCTCACATGCCCCCATGGTGTTTGGTACATGGATGGACTGGGGTCAGCCCCGAGGAAAAGGACAAGTGCGGGCACTGAGGCTAAGTCTCAGAGAGTGCAGGGGATGCTTTCAAAGCCCATCCAGACATTGCCAAACAACAAAGTTTATAATCACTTTCTGAATTCAGATAGCAACTACCCTTGCAACATACAAAAGCAGGGTTTGTACATGGAAAATGTATTGTAAGAATGTTGGATGGTTTGGTATACTACAGTTACTTTTTGAGTAACAATACAAAATATGTGTCATGAAAGATCTTATTACTTTGTTTGCTGTATTTGGGCTGACAGGATGACATGGAACAGTAGGCAGACCCAAAGAAATGGCATAGTAAGCAAGCACACACATGTTCAAATAGGTGTGCTCTGCCTTTGTGTTCTGTGTTTGTGTTCTGCCTCATACCAGTGGACATGGTTCTTCATGGGGATGTTGACTGGTTACCTTTGACACTAGGCAGAATTGATACCATACCCAATATATTTTTGTCATCCATGCTCTGGCTTACAGACTTGGTCATTGCCACACCAATCTGACTATAGCAATCACTCAATGAAATCACACAATGAAGGTTATCACTAATGAATCCTCTCACTCAAACAAACAACAACCAAAAAGACAACACAAAATGTTCTAATTTTGAATCTGTCTGCCTTTCTGCTAGTTTGTCTGTATTCTCCATGGGTCCATGGATCTATCACATGATCTGCCATAGCATGACATTCAACCAGATGCTGGGCAGGGGAATGGGAGTGCTCTAAGTTGGGGGGGGGGGGATGGTGCACTGAAATGTTATTTCTTTGCAGTCAAGATGTATCCACTGGTCAGACCAACACTCAATTTTCAGGTTACCACACCTTGTCCCCCAGTACCTGTGCCACTGTGCCACTGTGCTTAGAGTGCTCTTCTCACGTAATACTTGAAATAACAACGTAGTTTTTGTCGAAACCCCCAAAGTCATCTGATTTGCATGTTGATTAGAAACCTTTATCGCTACGTTAATAAGCCATGTCCACTTAGTTCCATCAAGTCTGCAGAACAAGCCAAAGGCACGTGCTCCTATCGAATGCATCCCTGCAAGTTGGCGGTGTGAAATACCTTAATTTTCGCACGTCAGATGACCATCCACGCGTCGTCGCAGGTCAAACCACAATTCTGCACGCCGGTGCATCAAAACGGCGATGTGCGTACAAAATGTATCGACAGCGGCAGAACACATGCTGGCTATTTGCAGCCATATTGGCAAGCTATGGGGGAGAATGAAGGTAAAGGTGAAACTGCAGATTTCTCCCTGCGCATGATTTCTAAAATTTGAGATTTTGGGCTCATTTTTTGAAAATACGTTATTTGATGTGGAAAATATTTTAAAAATGTATTATTTAAGGCTCATTTAAGGCGTTTCATATTTTTTTAAAATTTGTTCTTGATATTTTTTATCTACTACAGCCTAGCGAAGTACCCGATTTGGTACCCAGCATAACTCTAGGCAGAATTGACGCAGGTGTACGCGCCACGCGCCTGGTGCCTTTACCCATTGCCTCGCGCATGCCACTATCCGGGGCAACCACCTATCTCAATAACGTCCATTGGTGGGTGGGCGGCCGTCACTGATGTGGGATTGTGGTCGTCCGTATTGAAAACGGAAAGAGTACTTTTGTGACCGAAGGCCCGAAGTTGGCAAGAAGAAAGCAGGAGCGTGGGAAGATCTTTTGACTCGACTTCATAGTTCATTGCCAAGTAAGAATGTCGGGAAGAGAAGGTAAGATTTTGTTTTAAAAGTCGAGAAAGGTTAGGTTCATACGTACGAATGATTTGACACGTTGTTCAAAACACCCTATGCTCAGTCTATGCTAAGCCCTTGCAAGCAGCCAGGGGTAGATGTAGAGAGTGGGCTACATTGTTGAGGAACTGTGCTATGAATTTTGCTGGTAGGCTTAACCATTTTTAATTGCGCAGGCCCACCAAAATATATGGCACTACACTCTATGCATGTCCTGATGATGCTCTAGGAGCAATGTGTATGATACATCTCAAAGGGCTCAATGCACCAGGATGCTCAAATAGTAAGTGCATTGCTATGGCATGTAGGAGGTCCCTTAGTGGACCTAGCCCAGATATTTACCCATCTGACTGAGCTTGTGGCAATGAATGGCTCAATATAGGTACCTGGCCATGCTGAATAAAGGGTATGCAGCATCTGCTCACTGTGCATTTATTGGTCATGATTTTGGGGTGGAGATTTTGATGTGCTAAAAGTTTACTTTGTCATTAATTGCATGTAAAGCTATTGATTCATAACCAGATTGGACATTTTAAAGTCTAGACACCACTTATAATTTGCAAGAGAACAAAATGACTTTTGACTTCTACTATGAATTATGTATATAATACTAGCAAGTCATTTACCTCAAGAAACAATAGTACAATGGGGGTAGAAAGATTTTGGTTGGTTTTTCACCTTTTCTGCACATTTCTTTTCAGAATACTGTTATTTTGGATGTCCTTTTGCATCAGGAAATTGGTGTTATGGTGGGGGCAGTGCCAAACTGCCAGCACAATATACCAGAGCATCAACCAATTTACACAATAAATTGTCTCATGGGGTGGCCAGTCTTGGTGCAGGCAATAAATAAACCTAGTATAATCCTCAGGACATGTCAACCCTAGTCTGAGCTGGCATTTTATGATGTGCTGAAGCAATTATTTATGGATATAATCATGTGCATTTATAAATAATCCTTTGTGTTTCTGTTTTAGGTGGCAAGAAGAAGCCCCTGAAGGCTCCTAAAAAAACAGGGCAAGGAGATGGATGAGGTGATAATTCTTCTCAGTTTTTTACTTCCCTGTTGTTGAGCTGCTTTTGCTATTGTATTTATTATTTAGTCCACATGCCAACTTTTGATGACCTGTATAACCAAATTGTATATTTTGTGCATGTTAATTAAGCAATAATGCTGATAGCTGTTTTGACTTTCCACTGACATTTGAATTTCTGACCACCTTTTGTCTGTCATAAGCTAAGCTTCCTTTTACACCATTAATAACTGATTCATCCTTATACATGGTGATTCATTCATCCTTATAATATCATTGTGACATGAAGCATGGCTGTGCTTTATACCATGGTTGTATTGTTTCAGTCTGATCTGGAATTCAAGAAAAAACAACAGGAGGAGCAAAGAAAATGAAAGAGCTGCAGGCCAAGGCTGCTGGCAAAGGACCTCTGGGTATGCTAATGGGGTGTAGGCTACCCTTAGACATCTTATAGTAGTGATTGCAACATGTATGGAGTGTGATTGCTCAAGGTTTGCATTACTATGCTAACTTTAAGGTGGATGCAGTACACACATGTGCCTGGAATTGGAAGGTATACATGCTTTTCAGTATCTAGGCCACATTTTCATCTCTGATCTTAGCAATGAGCTAAAGCAGGAATATGGGTTTGCATTCAGCTTCACTGCCTGCCCTGCAGCAAGCCCTCCCAACTTGACAAAGGTTAACGGTCCTTACCTAGTGTCGGACACCATGCTCATAACAAGTCTGTACAAAAGAAGAAAAAATGGTTTATCTCTCCATCACCTGGTGGATCTTCTGAAGTTCCGAGCGTACATCTTCCGAGTGTAGATATTCCGAGTGTAATTCTCCCATGCAGTGGGTTTGTGGGCAGTGGATCTTCCGGGCTGATTCATATCTTGCAGGGTGAAGAGATCAGTGAGAAGAGCCCGTAACAAGCATGGCGACTGCCAGGTCATAAACCATTCTTTGCATTGATGAAGTACTGCAATCAGCACCGGGTTTATGTTTTGTAGACTATTGTTTAAACGTTTCTAAGAAAAACGTTTGGGGGGGGGGCTAGTCACGTGCACACTGGCACCCCTGTCAAATCGAGACCAAGCCAGGCCGTAGCCGACTGGGTGGCAGAGGTGCCGTTGTCGCCAATCATACCGCAGTTGTAGCTCCGTTGCGCACAGTACTAGAAGTTATACTGGATTCTATGCATATACATGTAAACACACTGGCTTGCGCGCGAGCGTAGGCGTCACGCATGCAACATACATTTCTGAATTGTTCGCCTATCGGGATATTTTTCCACTTATTACATTTTGAGGCACTTTTGGGGCAACTACACAGCTGCGCGCTTCGGGTTGTTTTACAAAAGTTTGTGGAGGTTTTGTCAGGCTTTGGTCAGGAAGGGGAAGAGCTTGAGTATCGGAGTATTGTCGATAGTTCAGAAGCGCTTCTTGCCATCATCACGGGTCCAGAATTTATCTTGTCTCTGTTCTCTGACATTAAACGTTTGTTGCCTCGGGTATAGTTCGGAATGTTAACCGCGACTGCCAGCGTCATCTGTTACTAGCGCTGAATGTCCTCCGACTGGCTTAATCAAATCCTGACCTGATCCAAAACCTGGTCGTTATCTGCCGTTGTCAGTCGGTGACAGATGTCGTTTCACCCGTGAACGCATTGGAGGTGTTTGGCTTTTTAGTTTTCTTCTCAGTCTTGCTGGTGTACACGCGAAGCCAGTATCGGCAGATAGTGATTATGACCAACCTTGTCCATACTGGTGTTAAAAGGCATATTTCACATTTGAAGACATTGAGGCAAGCGTCAGATATGGTGAAACGAGCTCACATGTAACTATTTGTATACTATTTAAGTGGAAAAGACTGCTGTAAACAGCACGATTCTCTTCCAAGTAAACACGCTTCTCGAAGCGTCATGGTTTGATTACGTCATCGTACCTTGGACATCACTGATTGAGTCAATTTACGGTCTTTATATCTGGAAATTGCGCTCAGAGGAGTCGCCCTCGAAAGTGGAAAAGACTGCTCCAGACAGCACAACTCATTGTTTAGTCGATATGATCCTCAATGTGACATGGTTTGATTACGTTATCGTACCTTGAACGACATTGATTGAGAGCTAATTGACGGCTGTTAGATCTGGAAATCGGGCTCACGAGCGCCAGGTGTGAAGGCCTCGACAATCTTTTTTCTTGGTCTTGATCGCATTGCTTATGGAAAGGCATGATTTGAATTACATTATTACGACGTTATAAATGCCAAGGTGATCTTGAAATACTCTCCGATGTACCGTTCCCCATTTTCGCGGGCGATTAGTTCAGAAACTAGAGGGGCTAAGGTCTTAAGGAGGGCAGGATGGTGAACAGCGCTGAAAGGTTCTTTAAGGTGGCTGTTTCAGTTAAAAACTCCACATAAATGTGGAACACACTCTTCAGAGGGGCTGTTCCACATTTGGTCTGGTTTAAACGTGGAGAAGTATCTGTATGGCCATTCCCTACTATCCCCAGCCATATCCTTTTTCAGGCGTCTAATTCTCTTGTTGTGTAGGATGACAAGTGATTGTGCCCTCTATGATGTGCCACTTACGGGGAAGTCACCCAGACATGTACAGCATTTGGAAATGTGGGAGCAACCCATCTCATTCACTGTTAAACGCGCATGGCCAAGACAAATATGGCCGGTCTATGAATTTGTGTTTGCGAGGATGCGAAATCAAGGTCCCAAAGACTTATAGCATTTGATTGGCTTCTAATCAAATTTCGCTGCTGGTTGTCTGCTTCGATCACAGGCCGCGTTTTTTTTGGGCAACTACTAGATGTGACGAATAGCACGCTATGAATCGAATAAGTTCAAAAATGGCGATGTAACCGGAACTGTAAGTGCAATTTTGGAGGATGTCATCGCGGAAACAGACGAGAACAGCGTGAAAAAGCCAAGACATGCACATATGCTCGTTTGTTTAATTCACCCACCTAAGTGGACAACGCCACCTTGCGACGCGTTGACGTATTACAAATCGGCCGGCAGCGACTCTGCAGCGATTTTAACGTTACGCAAACGTTCCATGACGTCGTCGGTATTGAGGTTTTACAACACACTTTGTTTTTATGATGAGACTAGGTCGTTGCCAATGCACCACTGTGTGAAAGTAGTTCTTGAATGTGATGCTAGCTGCTGCGCTTAAGTTTGTTGCCAACAACTAACATGCAACATAACCTTTGTTTTTAGCGACCGGTGGCATCAAGAAATCGGGCAAAAAATGACGACGGCTGCCCACCAACGCTACCACCGACCCCACCGCGTGCCGAGGTCAGAGGGAGCACCAACAGCTCCTGCTGCGTGTCGCTGCTGATATTGAAACTGTTCTGGATCGGCCAGACTTCGCCAGTTGGCTCAGCCGCGCAGATTCCTGCTTGAAGGCGACGTCCGTTCTGACGCTCCGTCTGTGAACGCTCTCAAATACACGATTCCATGATGTAACTCATGTTTCGACGCTTTAACGACTAGGCAGTGCCGGATGTGAAAGGCGACCGGAGGAGTGCTGAAGGTGATGGAAGTGACCCTAGATAACGTTTGTCTGGGTTATGAGAACATTGCTATTGTCTGCCTCGTTCGCGCAGCTCTTGACAGGAGACCACAGGCTGCACTGAGCGGTGTTCTTAACATCGGTTAGAAGGTATGGGCAGTTCCAACCGTTAATTTTTTTTTGGGGGGGGGGGGTGGAAAGTCATGGAACGGCTTCAAAATATCCCCATAACACCATAATGCATGTATTATGTATTACGCACAGACATAGCGTATGCATGTATGTGTGAGGTTACTGAATGATTGTTTAGGTCAACAGCAAAGGTTCATTTACTTTCGGATTTATATACCTGAATTATGGCTAAATCCATGTTAGCTCTGCCAGAATGGGATTCGGATGAATTTCAGTTTTCAACAGCTGCCTTTAATCAGGTGCGGATTCAGATTCATTCGCTTGTGCTCGAATTTTTGTCGCAGACTGAACAGGAGTGAAGAAATGTGGACAGAAAACATTTACATTGGGGTTAGAAGCAATGATGTATGTGAACAGACTTCACGAAACAAAACAGCTGAAAGTCCACGCAATGCTGACATCTCTGACTTGGCTGGACCTCGTCAAAGGCTGTTCGCTCGAATTCTCGAATGTGGTCTGGGGCCGAGCCAGGTGTTGCGTCACTTAGCCTGGGTGTGCTCACACATTGTTTGCCGGCTCTCTTCGTCCCACGACCCGCCTGATGCAACTTTTAGTTAAAACGAGTGATTCACATGTGAACATAATGAAGCAAGCATCAGATGTGATGAAAGAAGCTCACTTACAAGTATTGGTACACCTTTAAGTGGAACAGGCTCTAAGCCACACATGTTGTTTCTAGTAAATATGCTCTTTCACGCGTCATGGTTTCATTGCCATGAAGCGTTTGTTGGACGGCACTCACATGTAGTTTTTCATTCTCCAGAGAGGTGGGTGTGTACTGGATGTGTGCTGAACCAGATATCGTTAGGTGCTCGTGTTCTGACCCTTTTTCATCGCGTTTTTGTATATGCATCCCTTAGTTTAAGATACTTTAGTCACATACTCTGTTACACGCAGTGCTTATGTTATTCGATTTCAAGTCTTGCTCCCGTGAAAGCTAGGAAGGATGTGAAACTTCCTATATTACGTATCACAAAACGCAATCTGTGATAGTTCATGCGTCCCTTTTACCCCCATCTTGCTTCATCTTGCGTCCTCGCGACTCCGCCCGTTTGTTCGGGGCGGACTACATGCGTCAGCCACGAGTGGGCCGGGGCTGTAAACTGTGCTTAGTAGACGCTCTGAGCCCAAAAGTCACTCATGAAACCATCCAGAATAAAATAGCTGAAAGCAAAGTGATTCCAGCGGGCTTCAACCAGCGTTGGACATAACGGGACATGGCCAAACTCGCAACTCGGTGATGGAGTTCCGGCTTAAGCCCGGCTTGTGAATGTCGTATGTTGAGTTGTATGAATGAACATAAGAATATTCCTCAATTACAAGATTATGACGTCATTGGTATCGGTGATCCGTGGTGATGTAGCCACAGTGCTGTTGGTACAGTCAACGGCTTGATGGCGCACCAGTGCTGCGTGTGGCTGGTGTTTATGTCATTGCAGTCTGCGACCAATGGTGTTGATGTCAGTGCAGTCAGTAACCGGTTGTGTTGATGTCATTGTGGTCTGTGACCGGTTGTGTTGATCTCAGTGTAGTCTGTAACCTGTTGCGGTCACATCAGTGCAGTTTGTGACCGGTTGTGTTGATGTCAGTGCAGTCTGGTCGGTGATGTTGATGTCAGTGCAGTCTGTGACTGATGATATTGGGGTCAGTGTGGTCTATGACCGCTTGTGCAACATCGGTGCAAATTGTGGCTATTGGTAATGGTGATGTCAGTTATCAGCGTAGTTGGTGAATTATGATGATGATGTCAATCATGAAGGTGGCAGTAGTGGTGTCGGTCCACTTGGTGGGGATGATATCAGACGCCGTTGTCGTACACAGCCGATTTATTGATGCATGAGACAATACTCACTCCAGATATTTCGCAGGTGGCCTGACGGGCACCGGTAGGATACAAGTTAGGGCACTTCGTCTGCAGTGCGGACTGGTGACAAGATGGCAGGAACATTTGTGGCGAACGCCCAGACGCATCGCATTGCACGTTGTCACATTGGGTGCATAACCTCGCATGACGATCCCATGGGGTTTGGTAACGCTATGACCTCCTACACCAGCGGTGTCGTTGGTGGTCTGTCTCTTTTTCTGATGCCATGACATCCTGCGTTGATAATTTAAGCGAGACCATAGAGACTAGGCAAATTGTTCGTTTCCCACTATACCTTGGTTACCCTGGTTTGGCTGCCTTGCGGAACGGAACGGTACTCTACCAGTTGATTTGTCCCTGATCCATCTACATTATATCAGTTACAAAACCACTGGATGACTATCGATAAACTCTCAGGCGTATCTAACCTCAGGCGTATCCGTAGCAAATCTGTCTCTCAGGTCCAAAGCGCCACGCTCGCCAACACGCTATCCAAATAAATTACTACGAGACTGGCGGGTCTGAGGTGCTCATGCCAGACTGGCGGCTCCGCTGGATCTAACGATAACAGGCGATCCAGTGGGCGTGCCGGTCAGCACCACTCACACGCACACACACACGCCGTCACACGGCGTCGCACGGCGTCACACAGCCGGCGCGTGCCGGCAGCTTCGGCCGGCGGCCGCCACGCGGCGCTGTCGTCGCCCGCGAGTCAACTAAGCTCGGGCCGCGAGCCGGTCACGAGACGACCGCCTCGTCGCCGTGGTCAGCCAGCGCGTCCAGAATGCTGCCCGTGTAGTCGGAGGCGGAGTCGATGGCGTTGAACAGCGAGAGCGGGCAGCTGGGATATGCCAGGTGGCACTGGCCGACCTCTCGTCCACGTCGCTCGGCCGCTAGCAGGCCGGCCACCTCCGCCGCATCGGCATCCTCCAGACGGTGCGACGGTCTGAGGCGGGGGAGCGTGTCAGCCTGCGGTCCAGGCGAGGCGTCGCAAGCAAGGCGCCGGGGTAGCAGGAGCTGCAGTCGGGGCACCTCAGTATCGACTGGTAAGACAACTGCATCGGGAATACGCTGATAGATAGCATCACCATGCGTCTGAGCCTTTTTAACTTTAAGCGAAAACACTATTGGTTTCGACTGCATGATCATGGCTACAGACGTATGATTCCTGGCTTTAAACGTATGGCCAAACTCGCAAGATTCATCCCGACATGTCCGCTTTTCAATGCAGTTGCTGATGGCCGGGTTTAACGGCTTGTGGTGTGAACACTGCGTCGGTTTGCAAAAGACCCTGGCACCAGTGAAGGACTGCTTTGATTCATATGAAATTACTGGATCGGCTTTTTCAGACACATGACCCAGTTTGAGTGCTGGGACTGCGCCACCGCCTCGGACTGCGTCGCTCCTGACCACTTACGAGAGGATCATGTTGAGGATGTCTCCGATCAGGCCGTCCCTCCTCAGGGGAGCCTCTGCCACCTCGCAGACGGCGCGCTGCAGGCAGGCCTCTCCATCTGCGCCGAACCTGACAGCAGACAGCAGACGGCGGCTCACGGACGGCACGGCACAGCACGGCTCGGCGGCACACTACAGCACACTGCTGCTCTGCCAGCGTCAGCACTGCAAGACGTGACACAGAAAAACCACGATCAAATACCGGGCAGACGTCGATAAACACAAAGGCCATAATGTGCTGGCGACGTGTCTGTGCCTCGTGAATAAATGATAAGGGTGGGCACGAGACTGAGACTCGCAGGCTTAGATGATATGAAGCTGCGCCGGTGCTTCATAGGACTGCGTGAGCCTTTATCGATGTTATAAAGTTACGGCTAGTAATGGCGGTTGACCAAACTGTGAAAGCTTCTCAGCAGCGCTCACTTTGTTGACGATTTCAATTATCCATGTCACTTCTCGGAGCCGCCGATGCAAACAACCCGTCTCCATTCATTTACATTAGTTCTGCTTTGTGGACCTCTTCCCGAAACATAATCCCCTGTTCGTCATTTTCTATTGGTCTCCATCCACTCATCTCACCGATAGTGGTCTGCTATTTCGTAGTGGTTACGTAACCACACGACTGAAAGGAAGACGGTGATGCTTGCGTCATGCCTGCTTTATGACACGAGTGATTGCGACCATCAATGTGCACAGCCACGTCCATTCAAACGGCGCTGCAGCTGAGAGGCCTTTGCAGCCTCTGCGGGCGTCTCTCATCACTTATATAGATATAGTCTGGGGTTGCATGGCGCCTAATGAAATGTGGTTGAAGAGTGTTTGACATTGGTGGTTGTTAGGCAATGGACATATTACGACTGCACAAGTGAAACTTGTAATGCCAATGCTGTTTGGTTCTCTCAAACAGCGCAGAAGTGGCAAAACTTTGATGCGGAAAAGACTCAACCCCGGTATGTCATACTTTGCGTGTCGCCAATCGCGGATTACGGTGCGACTAAATAGTGCAATCACACCAAGCCTTCACTGGTTTACAACCCTGATTCGATTGCGGCGTGAATAATGATGTAGTTCATCCGTTTCATCATCGTGTGTCATGTCATCATTACATCATGTGTCATGACATCACCCATCATGTGTCATGTCACCATCGCATCATGTGCCATGTCATCATCGCATCATGTGCCAGTCCATCAACACATCATGTGTCATGTCATCATCGCATCATGTGTCATGCCATCATCGCATCATGTGTCATGTCACCATCGCATCATGTGTCATGTCATCATCGCATCATGTGTCATGTCATCAACACAGCCAGATGCTGGTGTTAGCGCATTAGTGGTTGGTCGCGTCAGTTGGTCGGTTCATACCGCCACATCCGTCGCAAAATACGCGCCTAATGCCACTGAGCGGCTACTGCAATGGCCATTGGTGATAAAGCTC